TCCAATCAGTATAATCAAACACAGCTGGACTCAAATGAAGGTGTAGAACCATCTCAGGGATGATCAGAAGAAATGGACAGCACCTAGGGTGCTTCTACTAAATACTGAGCAAAGGGTCTGAATACTTATGACCATGTGATATTTCAGTTGTTCTTTTTTAATAAATCTGCAAAAATGTCAAAAATTCTGTGTTTTTCTGTCAATATGGGGTGCTGTGTGTACATTAATGAGGAAAAAATGAACTTAAATGAATTTAGCATATGGCTGCAATATAACAGAGTGAAAATTTTAAGGGGGTCTGAATACTTTCCGTACCCAATGTATAAGCCTCCAAGTCTGAGCCCTCTTTGAACACCCCCCAGTCAGTGTGCTGGAAACAGTCCTGTAATGGTGAAGAAGCCTCCTCCGTCCACACCTTAACTGTTTTGGTGATTGGTTTTGTCCTGCAGATCAGAGGTTTATATGCTGGGATCAGCTCCACAGAGATGTGATCTGACATGCCCCGGTGTGGAGCAGCTATGGCCTTGTATGGTCCCGGGATATTGCAATAAACGTAAGCCAGGATGTTACTTTCAGTCTGATTTTTTTGTAACCACATGATCTGTGGTTTCAGTTTGTTATGTTTGGTTTATTATCACCCATGTGTTTTCCTGTAACTCTGGTGAAAGTGAAACCAGAGCAAACGGGATTCACCGACAGGCACAATAACACAGGTTCACGCCAGTTTTTCTAACCTGCTCCCAGGTGTCTGTGCGCGTTCAGGTGTTTTCATGATGCTGATGGTCTTTACAGACCATTCTTTATTTTGCCTTTAAATCGTGCATTTTTAAAATACTGTCATGAATGTGTTTTACACTGTGGTGTGAGGAAAATGTTTGACTAGTGTGTGATGTTTGGCCTGCATACACTCACCGGCCACTTTATTAGGTACACTTGTCCAACTGTGTGCAATTCGTTGCATCACTTCCACCTTAACAAAAATAAAGAGAAGCCCTGTAATATAATATAGTCTAATAGAACACCACCTTTAACTGTGACCTCAATAATAAACATATAATAAAATGTATAGATTTATGACAATTTCACCAAAAACTGAAACATTGTGAGCTTCATAAACACAGATGTTATGGGGAAACTGTTGCATTGAATTGCGCACAATTGTACAGGTGTACCTAATAAAGTGGCCGGGGAGCGTTACGCTCTTAATTTTTCTGAAATGGCACAACAGACCAACAGACAGGCCACAGAGAATGGCAAAAGCCCCTAGAATGCATTGTGGTGGCTGTAGGTGTGGCTTGGCTGCAGAGACAGTCACGTTGTTTTGCTTTTCCGTGCGCTGCAACGTGGATGTAAACACTAAAGTGAAACCGAAAAGCTCCTCTGCTCTAATACAAGGCTTCTGCTGGTTGATGTTATTCCACAGGAGACAGAGACACAAAACGGACTCAAACATGGAAACGACGCAGGAGAAGTGTTACGACCCTTTCGACTCCTCCCTTAGATTTGTGGATGAGGAGGATGTTTTAGATTGTAAGTAGGGGACTCAGTCAGTCTCTCACATTTTCCAAAGCAGAGTGAATTGTTATAGATGGATGTAAGCGATCCTACAGTTTTTAAATCTGTATAACACCGCGTTTGGTTGGAATGTGTCACGGTTTCTTTGTGTTTCAGTTCTGTGTGAGGGATTCAAGTCTCGAAGAGCCCTGATGTCCTGTGGCCACGCAGTGACCCCGATGTCTCTCACCAAGTGGTGTCGCACGTTATTGGACCAGGTATATGTTTCAAAATAAGCTGTTTTCACTAAAAATAGGGCAGCGAAAACGGATATAGGACAAGTTAGTAAAATAATGATGCGCAGCCAATTTGTGTAAGTATTCCGATTATTGACATGTGTAGCCTTTGTAATGTTTTATGGGAATGCAAATCTCTGGTGCTGTGAAAACCACACAACCTTCACCTGATCTTCACTCAGCGCCAAACCGATTACAGCGTGTTGTTAAATAACTGTATGCTGATGGATAAATAGTGAATGGTTAAGCGCTAGGCGCACAGCACCTGTGCACAATATGATGTTTAAATCTCATCCACATTTCTAGAACAGAGATCTTTGATAGTGACATCCTTACCAGACACAGCTGAACATGGCTGCCACTGATCAATGATTTCCTTTTCAATATTTGAATAAAGGGTGAAACCAGATTCGTCTGTGGCCTGATTGGTTGTGATGTGGAGTGGCCATATGCAGAGGTTCGTAAAATGGCCCTTTTGACCCCTGAAGAAACCAAGTACTTTGAAAAATCCATGGCCTCCAATCTTGCCAGGGCGATCTCTGGTGCCAAATTGGTAGGTACCTGTTGGAACTTTACTGTCTGCACTTGGAAACTGTAAATGAAACGGTGAGATAACAGACGCCCCCTCTTTCCCCACACCACAGTGTCCTGGATGCAAATCTTCTGTGGTGAGAGAGAATGAAACCACAGTGTCCTGGATGCAAATCTTCTCTGATGAGAGAGAATGAATTCAGCCTGTGTGTCCGCTGCACAGTGTGCACGGCCAACACACGACGGGCCTATGACTTCTGCTGGCAGTGCCTGAGGGAGTGGAAGGGTCCAGCTCCACGTTCAGACCGCTGTGGGAATGATGGCTGCTGCAACGAGTCACTGAAAACACTGGCAACTTGTCCAGACATCATCATTTGGTCTGTGACATGCCCCTCCATCCGCGCCTGCCCCACATGTGGCGCACTGCTGCAGCATGACAGCGCTACATGCAGATACGTCCACTGTCCCCGATGTAAGAAGAACTTCTGTTTTGTGTGTCTGAGGCTCACTCCTAAATGTTTGAATAGAAGCAGCAATCATTTCGGTCACTGCTCCACTGGGGTGGCCCCTAGACAGACCTCCATACCTGTATGGCGTAAGAAGTAATGTGACCACAACCTAACTGGGCGCGCTTCAAGCAGAGACATCTCTCTCTCTTACATATCGTCTTTATGATTTGTTTGTGAGAAAACATAATCAGATAATTGGTGATAGCCTAAATTACATATCTTAATCTATAGTCATGTTGTCACCTTTCCTTGTGTAACGTCAGATGTGTTGTTTGCTCTTTTTTCTGATTCCATGAAATTTAAGATACGAACATGCTATTAATGTGAAGGAATGGTTTCCGTTTCAGTGGATTTCTCTGTGACAAGTGTCAAGTCCAATCTGATTTTTTAGTTTAGTTTTGCAGTAGATAACTCTCCACACTCAGGATTATGATACTCTGTCATGAGACGGTTTAATACTAAGCGGATAGGATGGCAGCAAATTAGATTTAATGTCACACTATAATGCAATAAAAGTGATTTGAGGTTAATAAATAAAGTGGATTTCAGTAAAGTCAAAGTTTCCGTTATTGGGCTTTTTAAAATTCTCCCACAGATTTTTTTTTTACTTTAAATATCACTGAGCAAAGGCCTATACAGGCTTCATGCTCGTTTTAAGGTGGAGCAGAAAATCCCAGTAAGAAGCTTCGATATGCAGTCAGCAGCAAAACCACTTTTCAAAACAGAATTCAATTTCAATCATTTGGTTGTTTTCTGAAAACCCTGGAGGAATACAAGCTGCATGCATAACATTTAACAGTTGAGTCCTTGATACAGGTTTGCAGCTTTCTCTACATTAATAATATACAACATATTAATCAACTGCATTCAGTGATGTCATGTCCGGCCCGTGTGGATAATATTGTCTTGGATGGATATTTGATATTTCCCTCTGCAAAGTCACGGAAGGCATCAATAACTGTATTGATCACTAATCTGTCTCCTGGCCTGGTGAACTACAAAGATGATGTTTTAGTATCAGACTGATGTAAAAATCCAGAGGCCTTTAACAAAAAGCTGTACGGGAGATGAGAGGACAGATGTTACAACAGCAAACACACTTAAGTTCCTTTAAGTGATGCACATAAACACCACCTGCTTCACTAAAGATGATACAGGTTTGATTAAAGGTTTCAAACAAACCACTGTGTGTGTGTGTTTCCATCATGTCTAAAGATACTGAGGCTAAAGTCCTGCAGTCAGAGCCTCCACCTTCCTGCAGCCTGTTAGGATACTGTGGGCTTTTACCTGCAAATTCACAACAATGCAATAACAAAATACTACGGCAGGCTGCTCCATAAACAAGGCAATAAACTATAAGGGTGATCGATGACCTACCTGACCATTTCACAAGTCAAATGTCAAATACTTTCTATTTCTATATAGCCCAGACATTGGAAAACACTCAAAAATGAATATGTTCACACATGTGAGCTTCCTCTTTTGTTCTTTCATCAAACCATAATTATTATTATCACTCTCAACATCTATTTAAATGGACTGCATTATTTTTCACAGTGTGTTACACTGGCCAAAGCGCTTTACAGGAGATCATACACATTCACCCATTCATGACAACAGGCTGCCACACACCAGCGCTAGACAAGCCACCGGGAGCAATTCGGGGTTCAGTGTCTTGCTCACGGACACTTAAGCATGGGGGGAGACCGGGAGGCGGAC